TCTATAGGACTAATTTTGGGTTTTTCTGTTTTTCCATTTTGTTTTGTTAGGGTTTTTTTTATTTATTTATTTTTGGTTTGTTGGTTGTTGTTGGTTTTGGTTTTCTTTCTTTCTTTCCTTTTTTTTTTTTTTTTTTTTTGCAAGTCTCTTCCCTCAAATCTGTTTTTATTCCTTTTCATCTTCATTTTTAACTTCAGAAAACAGACATGTTTCTCCCAAGGGAACAATTAAATGTGTTTTCTTTCAAAATCTAAAGGGCATGGTGAGCAGGCTGTGTGTTCAGCAGGCTACTTTAATCAATGGATCCCATCCAGCCTACCACTGCTGACCAAATTGCAATTTACATCAGTAGAGAAAACTTTTGAAATGGGAAGTTGTGGGAATATAATACCATTTTTGGCATAACACAACATGCAGGGTGATATGTGGTTTAATGGTTTTCTAACAAGCTTTTAGAAAAAAAGCTTTGAAACACTAAAAAAAAAAAAAAAAGAGCAATAAGACTGTAAAATTTCAAGGTCTGCTTGAACAGTGAAATCAATGTTATATGTGCAGAACTTCTGAAGTCCACATGACACTTATGTCTCATTTAAGCCTTATTACAAGGTTTTAAGAGAGGCTAGTCTTTGCAAGGCATTCTCCCTCCTCACCTCCATGTTCAGGTCTTTCCTCACATATACATATGAATTTGAGCCAGATAAGACCAGTAACATAGAAAAAAAAATTATTTTTTTTTTAAACTAAGGGCAACTTTATTTCAATTAGAGAGGGTTTTTAGTTTGTTTGTTTGTTTTAAAATCAGTTTAACATGAGTTTTATGAGCTTACCTGTCTTCTAATGTTAGAGATGCATATTTTTACATCCAATGAATAAAACAGAATGTGTTTTTTCTAGATGGTAGAAGAGACAAAGGATATCAGAACAGTTAGGAAGAAAACTAATTATGTTACGCACTGAGAAATTTAGCATACCAGAAGTACCACTCTCCCTTTCAGGAGGAACAGATACAGTAAGAAAACCCAGTCTATTTCCCAGACAGAATAAACCCCGCAGATTGCTGAGGTTAACAGTTTCTTAGCTACTTAATTTCATAGTTATTCTTTGCAAGTCTTACAGGAATGTTTTAACATTATGCAAAGAGACAGTGCCTCCAACCAAGTATACATAGACTGTTCACTCCCATTGCCTGAGAGAGCCACAAAGAAGTAGAGGAAAAAAAAAGTGCCGCTGTGCTTATCATACATGAGCTCAGTTTATTTGTGCTATAAATAAAAGTAGATCTTGATAGCGTAATTACATTTCTCAGCATTATCCTCTGCCATTCACTTCAGAAAGAAAAAAAGAAAGGGGAGAAAAAGTTCACTTTACTATAATTTGTAACCAAAATGACTACACTTAAAACATAATTTTATTTCCCTGATTTCATTTCCTGTGGAGCTTTGTGGGGCAAATAGATAATATTATACCAAATCTGCAGGCAGATAATTCTCCCATACGTTGCACTGTCATTGTCTAGATCACTTTCCCCCCTCCCCACGCTTTCACCAAGACCATAAGGCTGTGTTTTTGATATGATATTTTATCATTGAGGTATATATCAGCATCAGAAATCCCTGGGGTGAATCAATTTTTACTTTTTTCTACCTTCTCTCTCCTGCTCCCCCAAATTACTCTTCCTTGCCTGATTCACTTTTTATAATGCTAGGAAAAAAAACCCCAAAACAAAACAAGGTGGTTTCCCACTATGAAGGATTAGCACAGATTATGGTGAACAGTGTTAATTATAGGTGAGGAAAGAGAATAGTGCATCTCTCCAATCTGTTCTTGATTTCCCCCGTGTCTGTCTGTCTGGTAATAAGCCTCCTTTAATCTGGCAGTCCCCTTGGTGAAATCAGCGCCATGGACAGCAATATTGATTGCTTCTGAGAAACCATCACAGCTGCTCAACCAAATTACCTTTGATATGTGACCTTTAATGTAATTACTGCAACATCAAAGCATTTCTATAAATTATTAAAGAACTAATATACTTCATCATCCAGCTAGTCTATTATATGTAAAATAAACAATCACAACTAAATGCTAGAATTTGGATTGTCCAACACTCACAAACTGCTCTTTACACACACATACATACTCTGCTACATTAACCTTCTGTTTTAGGCAAAACAATTTCAAGCTGTCCAAAAGAGCCTAATTCAGTCTTTCAGATGAAAAGGATCCAACTGATCATTTTATGTTTTACATTCCATTCTAGTTGCTTCAAAATATCTGTCATGATTCCTTCCCGCCCAAAAACAAAGTGCCATAAAGACTTTATTAATCAACACATACCTGCTTGGAACTCTTTTGATTATTCCACAAGATGAGTTTATGCCCCACATATAACATAGAAATATGTGAAACATATTTCTGTCATCTTACAAAGCACATCCAGAAAGTAATTACTGTAAAATATGTGCATGTAGCCACTCCACTAAAAACAAAGTGATACATAGCTAAGAGGCAAGGCGTCTGAATCTGGACAAAAACTCCTCATGCCTCACCATTTCCATACATTAACATTCATGTGAATATTATTTAGAATGACTCATTTCTGTGTTTTATAATACAAAGAACACAAACAGTAATATTGCAAGAGCACAAAAATGTACTGTTATCTGGGGGATGGGAAAGAATAGCTTACTCTAGTACTATTTATTTTTCCTTTTCCAGACTTGTTAATTATTTTTGATATCTCCTCAGTGCTGTTTGTGTCATAGGCAGTGGAGTCTCAAGAGAAGAAGTTATATATGTGTCATTTGTGAACTCATGTGAATGAGGACTTAGACCCCTGACCTTAGAAGTGCTTTTTATTTTATGGTGATGAACTATGGTTGATATTGTTGGTGCATGTTATCAAGACAGACAGGTAAGTAATAAATAATTCCCTGCTACTCACATAGTGACTATAAAAGAGTATTCAGGCATGATAGTTTATCAAGAGACAAGACTGGTTTCCTTAAATAAACTACAGTGACATCATTCAGAGGATGAGTTCAGAAACTTGGCAGAAAGCTGCATGCAGAGGGCTTGCTGGTGGAAAGTAAACCTTTATCCTGAGACAAATAGAACTGGAAATGAAAGGGATGGGAGAATTCAATGTTCAGAACTCTCAAAAACCTGGTTGCTATTTTAAACAGAAGATTCACTGTTCCCAATTCAATCAGATCCTGATGTGTCTCCAGAAAGAGTAAAAGAAAACCAAAAAAAGGCCTCTAAAGTCAATATGGTGTATATGTAATAGAAACTACACAAACCAAAGAAGAAATTGTTTCCCTGTAGTCTAGAATCAGTCACTGTATTCTCTGTGGGAAGTTTTGATTGTAAAGCAAAAGCTGGTTGAATTTTGCCACTGTCCAAGATCACAGTTTTGACTTTAAGACTTTTGTGATTTGAAGTCCCTAAAACACAGGCTGAGATTCAGAACTGTGGACATAAAAAAGAACTAAAAAGGAAAAAACAAATCCTAAACATCACTTGCCCTCCCTCTCCAACTCTGAGCCTTCAATCTCACTGTCTTCTTGAAGATATTCACATAATACAGTTTCAGGATGAGATTTTAGCCTCACAGAGAAGATAAGAGTTCCATGTGCAGGTGAGTTGTCTGGTTCCTAATGAGAAGAGCAAACAGTCTTAGTGGAAACATCCGGAATTTCCTCTCTTTAAATACATGACACATGCCTATCTCTAGTTTTGATAAATACATATTTGATTTCAAACATATTTCAAAAAATTTCAGTTAAAATGTTTCCTTACTCACCATATTTTCATTTTTCAATGCTGTGAACGAGTTTCAAGGAAAAAAAATTATTCAGAGGGAGTTGTCAGCTGACAGAAATATTTTTAGGAAATGAAGTATGTATATATTTACATAAGGTATGGCCTTTTAAGCAAAGATAGATGTAGATGAGCAAGTGCGTGGGTATCTTCATACTGGCAAGGTGGCTTAGAGATAGGTAAATAGACCCAGAATGATGGAGACAAGCAGAGCAGAGTCAACACTTTCTTCAGCAACACAGAACAAGGGATGTGTCTTAGGTCTGGTGGAAAGGTTATGGCTACACAGGTCTCAGTCATTCAACACCAACTAATAAAGGTAGACTTTTGAATAGATTTCCTCTCATTTTAGATGCACCCTGGAACCCTTAGGATCTCCCTCTTAATTACTTGATCACTGACTTTTGTGTCATTGGGAAATCAGCCCTATTCTAGCTACAGGAGTATTTGGCTGTTCCCAATCCATATACTCTGGTTGAATCTAAATAGTTTCTGTTTCTTTTCCCCCCTTCTCAGGGTAACTGCTAAACTAGAAACCCATCCAGCAGGGCAGGTCTTCCCCACATAATGCTGATTCTATTTTTAGTTTTGCTTGTGTTGTCTGAACCTTAGATCTTGCTCATGTGAATAATTTTCCTCATTATCCTGTTTCGTCTTTCCTCTCTCTCTTTTCTCCTTGTCTCACCGCCTTTCCAATCTGCTACAGCTGCTTGAATACTAAAGTAACTGAGTCAAACCACTTTGTCATCAGGAATATGTTTTCATTCTGTGATAACTCAATAATGTGATCCGTTTCTTGATTTCTTACAGCCACACCTTGCTTCAGGGAAGAAAAATAGTAAGAAGAAATACCTGGTGAGCACTTCTAACATTTCATTTTACTGGTCAGAGTCCTAAAGTCTTTCCTTAGCTGAGTAAGGCTGGTAGAACTCAGTCCATAACCAGTTAACTACTGTTTCCCTAACTACCAGTAAGAGAAAAAAATTTTTTTTTTTTTGTGCATGGAAACAGTTTGGGTGGGTTGGTGGTATCTTGATTTTATTAGCCCAATGCAAATAGTGAATCATCCAAACAAACAGAGACATTATGCTTCCAAATCTGAGATGAGAACTCCATATGTAACTCATTTTAGATTTAAAAAAAAAAGATAATAAAAAAAAATGTTATCAGTCTGGACTCACCCCCGGCAGTGTCTTCTGTTCATGCAGTGCGCTCTGGGCCTTTAGAGCAGACTCCCTTTCGCAGTATGTTAGGAAGGCACAGCCTGTTAACAAAAAAACACAACCTCAGTAACAGCACTACTTCAGAGAAGATCCATTTAAAATTGAGACGTAGAACAAACCATTTTCCTGTCATCATCCCACTCCCAGTAAATCAATCATAAAAATCTCTCCTTAGCAAGGGAGTAATCGAGACTCACGAAATGAAGCTATCATCGCTTCCTCTGAGGCCTGATGGAAAGCGAGCAACAGTGTACCTAGGACTGCTTATTTTTCTTTGAATACATATTTAAGTGTCAGATACAGAAGGATGCACAGGATTAGGGATCTCAAAGATTCCATGAGATAGCAAGGTGGGACATGAAATCCTACTCCTGCTCCAGCAGCAGCACTGGGAGTAAGCCCTTTATTGACATATCATGTTGAAGGTTTCACACCCTTCTTTTGTATTAAGTACTTTTGGTAGAGGATATGCAAGGACTTAGGACTCACGCTGCAGAGGAGTACTTCTTTTGTTTAGCCTGGCTTGCACCCACAAGCAGTTGCCCAGTTTGCATCTCACCAGAAGGCTTCCCCCCTGCATATGCTGCTGCAAGGGCTCACTGGCTCCCACCCATACACACAATCACCTCAAAGCCCAGGCAATCAGTCTGAAACATCTCTGATCCACAGATCATCAGCACTTCAGAGATGCTCCAACGGATTATGCCCTTGGTTCTTCTGAAAAGTTGTCTTATCAACTACAAAGGCCAAGGCCCTGTCAAGGTAGGACCCTGTTCTGCCTTCCCTCCCCACATCCCTGTTTGCCTTCTTGTTAAACTGGTTGATGTTGCAATGTCTCACTCCAGTTGTGTGCCTGATGTGATCGAATTATTTCTTCTTACTGCAGTATACTGAAAACCTGCCAGTCCCTGCAGCAAAAAAAAAAGTGCTTGTTATGCAGAGGACATTTTCTCTGAAATTACTTCAGAGTGTCTGTCACCTCTCCAGATCCTTGAAATGGAGGTATCATATCTTTCAAGGTTCAGGTAGCATATCCCTCAAAATATGGGTACCTTGCAAGAGCAGCACTATTATAGAGAGATTACCAAAGAAACAAACATGTTCCACAAACATGTTCCATAATCTAATTTTGACCCACTCACCTTCTCCCTATGCATATAGAAAGTATGTAACAGGTGAGTAAACGGTAGATTACGAACTTTTTTTCAGCTTTGATTATCGCTGTGGCATTTTGTCCACTGTTTTTCCCAAGCCGGTTCCTTAGATAATATTACTGAAGAAATACAAACTTGTTCTTTTCTTCCTTACAGTGCTTTTAATTAGTATATACAAGAGACTAGGGAGATTTTTTTTTCATATAAATATAAATATTTTTTCTCAAAGATTGTCTTATGGAAGTCACCCTTCTTCTCTGACAATAAAGATATAATTTGGCATGGAAAAAAACCCCAATTTTTTTCACTATTTCTTACACTGTATTAATACTTTCTGGAGGTCTTGTTACTTTCAGCTTATTCAAACCAATCACATTTATTATGTCTCAGTAATTGAGAGTCATAAGCAGAAGATGACAATCAAGGAAGGAGACTGAGCAGCAGCAAAAGTTTGCGTGCTCAACTTGGAATTATGTTGATTTCTTCCCCTTTAAGTGGATGAGTTTTCAGTTAGTCTGTATCTATCAAAGAAGGGGAAGAAAGAGTGGTGGAGAGTTTGAAGCTAGCAAAAGTAATAGATTGAAAAGGATCCTTAAAAGTCACCCATAGCTCAATATTCAAATGGGAAACTATGCTTAAATTTAATTTCAGTGATAAATCACAGGCTGAGAGCTCTCTGTTTATTAGACACAATAAGAAAGTCTTCCTTTAGCAGCAGACATGGAGCAGCTGATACAGTCTAATTAAGCACATTATAGCTCGCTGCTATAGAGATAAACTATGCACTATTCCATAATGATAGCTATATTTTTCTCCTCATTGTGATGGCCATGATGACAGTTCAGGGTAACAATGTCCTGCAACTCCTACAGTATCATGACTGCAATTCAGACTGAGTAGACAGAAGACAACTCTGCTCTGAAGGAGCAAATTGCCCTTCCAAGATCCACACTGCATGTGTGTGGAGGCAAGTTCTCATCAGGGAGAAAGCTCGGTTAAGTCCTCTCCAAACATGCTGGTGAAAGTGGTGGAAGTGCCAAACTCCCAGAAACAGTACTTATAGAATGCGTCCAAACATCACTGATTTCCCAAACATGGTGTTATGGACAAAAAGAGGCTTAAATGGAAAAGGGATCTACGCTTTCATATGATCAGACAAAAAGCCACCCTGTTTTCCAGGGTCAAAAAACATGCTCCTTTGAAGTGTTTCATTTTCCCTTCTCATTCATATGTCATACACATGAACTACAATCTCTCTTACTCTTGTTGGGCAAAAAGTAATATTTAATGAAAAATAATATCTCATTTATTTTAAGTAAGACCTTGTTGCTTAGAGACAGCAAGAAGTTCCATCCCAACTGGATGGCCAAATGGAATAAAGTAGAGCTTAATTGTTCATAACTGGTCTCAGACTTGAACTTGAAAAAGAGAATTCATGTGTATTTTTTGTCTTCCCTTTACTTACCATCAGATTGTTCTGTAAGGCACATATATGACATTAGCCATCAGTTAAGTAGTATTTTTCAAAAATATGTGGTCTCTGATAATAGTACATGTCTATTATTCGTTCCTGAAAGTATTCCTATATTTCAGATCCTTGTGCATTAAAATGAAAGGAAATACTATTTCTTGAAGGCCCCTGCCCTGCCCGCTCCCCCCATTCACCCCTAAAACATCAAAATAATTGATCTATCCTTTGTTTTGTTGAGTTTAATGGAATGACAACTGTAGAACCTCTTTCAGGTGTTACTTTTCCCAGGTTACCTCTATGAATGTGTATCCATATGGTCCCTCCAAAGGGCTCTTCCATCCTGGAGACTGTTGCTTAAAGAACAGAGCACTGGACACTCAGGTGCATACTACAACATACAACAACCTAAACAACTGAGTCCTGAAATCATGTCATATGGAGCAGATATATTAGGTTTTACAGAGAAAAGAAACTGGTGGGAAAAGTGGTTTGGTTTGGTGGGGATTTTTTTCCTTCTTTTTTTTCCTTTTGATTTTCCAGATGGAAAACAATTTCAGAACAATCAGTTTTCCCTGCTGAAACTTATGATTGTGTACAGAACCACTTATTTTTCTGGGAAAAAAGTATTTGTTAGTAAGCTTTTAAGTAGCTCAACTTAACAACTTGCCATCAGCTGTTTGAGCTGGATGTGAACATGATCTTTGCGTGAAAGGATTCATATTTCATTGTAAATAATTTTCATTATCCAAGCCCTTTGAATTGCCCCTGTTCAGCAGCATAATGAACATTTCTCAGCACAACTCTTAAGGAAAGTTGGTGTAAAGCCTATACATTATTTCTGTCATCTACTTCTATGTGTGGTAATGACTGAGTCAGTACAATGCTTGTGAATTATTTCTGAATTTGAAGAAAAAAATCTAATTGACTAATTATTGATAATGAAGGACTTGCTCTTAGCTGTTCCTAATTTCAAATCCATTTCTCTCAAACATGCCATGATTTCCAGACATATGTCAATCAGCTAAAAGATGCTTTGTTTGTATTGTGCCTTTCCAGCTGTTCATTTACTACCAGTGGACAGCTTTTTGGGCAAGCATATAAACATCTGGAAACTCCCAGCTGCCAATTAACTCTCAACCTATTGAACTGCAATCTCTTGGAAACATGAGAACATATCAAGTGATCTCCTGGGAAACAAGGTTGTTAAAGAGAAGGAGGAAACAAAAACAAAGGCTTGAGATGGAAAAAAAAATTACAAAAGCTCTATTTTAATTTTATCTCCAGAGAATTCAATAGCGCAAATAATAATTGTATGGAATACAGATGGATAACAGTCATGGGTACAGCAGCTTCAAGTCTCCAGAAGATTTTGCACAAGCCTAGAAGGCAAAACAGTCAGGGGACTGAACAGTTCACAGAAGAGACACTGTGAACTGAACAGAATAATTCTGGAACTACCTGAGTTGCAGAAGGCAAAGGCAGGGACGGGGAGAATGGAGAAAAACCTACTGCAGCAGAAGGTCAGGTTTGAGACCACCTAAGGAGCCTGAAGATGTACAAGCCCATGGAACCTGATGAGATGCATCTGTGGGTTCAGAGGAACTGGCAGGTGAAGTGGCTAAGTCCCCATCCATTGTATTTGAGATCGGCAGACCAGAGAAGTTACCACTGACTAGAAAAGGGGAAAAAAATCCCTATTTTTAAAAAGGGAAAGGAGGTAGACCCAGGGAACTACAGACCATGTCTTGCAAGATCATGGAACAGAACCTCCTGGAAAACATGCGAAGGCACATGTAAATAAAGGATGTGGTTGGTGACAACCAACATGGCTTGACAAGTGACAAATTGTGCCCTACAAATTTGGTAGCCTTCTATGATGGGGTTACAGCACTGTCGGGAAAGGGAAGAGTAACTCTCTAAAATGGAGAGATATGGATTTGAGGGATGGACTAGAGGAATTATCTGGATAGTCACACTCGAAAGGTTGCTGTCAGTGGCTTAATGTCCAATTGGAGAGTAGTGATGAGAGGCATTCCTCATGGTTTGGTGTTTGGATGGATACTGTTTAACATCTTTACTGGTGACATGGACAATGGGATTGAGGGTGCCCTCAGTAAGTTTACTGAAAAGAAACTTGGTTTGTGGTGAGGTTAACACTCTGGAGGGAAGTGATGATTATCCAGAGGGACCTTGACAGGCTTGAGAGGTGGCAAATCCCATGTAAATCTTGTGAAGTTTGACAAGACCAAGTGCAAAGAACTTTGCCAGGGTTGGGACAAACCCGACACAAATAGAGGCTGGGCAGAGAATGGATTGAGTGCAGCCCTTATGACACAGATGAAGGATATGGAGATGCTGGAGGTAGTCCAGAGGAAACCATAAAGGTTTTCAGAGGGGCTAGAGCACCTCTCCTGTG